ATGACATATACTTGGCCTGAACATAATTTTTGCTATCCTACCCCCCCCCACCAGAAAGAAAGCTTGCTAAACAGCACAAAAACAGAAAATGTTTATTGCACTTAGCAGAAAATGCCAAACTGTAGGCACAGGTGTCATTCAGTAGCAATCCATCACATTCAATGCACTACCTCAAAATCATTCTTTTTTGAGACTTCCCAGAATGGTGGTTTTCAAACTAGTGTCCCTGAGGCCAGGGCTCCTTGCCTGTGTGGAGCAGCTGCGGGGAAAGAGAGAGAACATTCACAGGGGGCCACAACTGCCATGGCTTCAGCAGCAGGGCAGCCCCTCCTCTGCCTGTTCTGTCAACTGGGGGTCGCCTAAGGGAAAGATTAGCAAGCTTCTTCTGTAAAGAACTGGATGGTGAATATTTGGGGCTTTACAGTCTTTACAGGGTCTAAGTTCTTCTTTATTTTTTTTTTTATTTTAAGAAATCATTAAAAACTTAAAAGCCAGGCAACCCCCTTGGGTCCTCTCTGCTCTGGGAGCTTTTCTGTCCTCTCAATAAATCCTGCTTGCAAAAAAAAAATGTAAAAGCCATTCTAGCTCGGAGGACATACAAAAATGAGTCTCAGACTGGATACAGCCCACTGTTGTTTACCAACAACACTGGTCTAAGGTATGATGAAAACACTACATAACTCTTAAAACTGAGACCGAAATTGTGCCCAGTTAGGATGACTGTGAAGCACTACTGTGTGCAACAAGCCCTGTGATGACAGCCATGTGAAAACCTTGCCTAAAACTGAATGTCCAGGGGAAATGGACTAGGAGGTCTCTATATGCTTGCGAAATTTCAGCCGTCATTTTGCCTACCACCATGCATAAAATATCTCAAGAGAATATGAAAGGAACTTGAAATCTTGATTGCCTCCGAGGAGGGAAACTATAAAATGATCGTTGTAAATATGTTTATTTGCACACATTTGTTTTGAGCCTGACAAATGGTGGGTGCACTAAAGGCAGGACACCTTAATTCCAAAAACATTTACTGAGTGCTAGTTCCACTGTGAGAAAGCCAAGGAGGGCTGGTGTCACAATGAAGGTGGAAATGTGATGTTATAAATGCACTGACAGTATGTGCTCATTATTGTGGATCATAACTTGGTGGCTTCTCTATTTTTACTGGGGCATGCAGGACTAACATGCAGAATTTAGACTCCACCAGTAATACTCATTAACATAGATACCTTTTTTTTTTTTTAAGAGGTTAGGGGTTAGGGTTAGGATCTTACTCTGTTGCCTAGGGTTAGGGCTAGGGTCTTAACTATGTTGCCTAGGCTGATCTGCAACTCCTGGACTCAGGTGATCCTCCTACCTCATCCTCCCAAGTAGCTAGGATTACAGGTGTGTGTCACCATGCCCAGTCCAGATTTTTTTTTTTTTTTTTTGAGGAAGTAGGAATTTATTAGAAGACAGAAATGCTCCTGGCAGCAGGAGCAAACTTGAAAGAGTGTTGCCCCCAGATTCTGTTTTTATTAGGAGAGTTTAAATCACAAGTGACCAATATCCAGATCTTTACATTACTAGAAACAAATCTCGAATCAGGTAAAACAGGCCAAAGGGTAAGACAATGAGTAAATAAGAGAGAAGGGTCTAGGAAGGAGGTCACAGAGATATTCCAGATCCTAAATACACAAACAAGTTTTCAAAAGCTGGCTATTTTAATATCTATCAACATTATAAGAGTACATCTATCTTTTGATTCAGCAATTCCATTTCCATGAATAGAAATGGGTATATTCACCATTAGGTATTAAACACAAACACTGGGTTATCCACTAAAGCATTATTTGCAAAAGATCGAAATTCAACAATATACAACTGTTTACAAAAAAGAATGAGACTACTTTTTATATCCTGATATAAAACAAAGGTCAAGATATACCGTTTTTAAAAAGAAAGCTGCAGAACAGCTTGTGTTAGGAAAGAAAGGAAAAGATGTATTTCTTCCTGTTTTGATAGAATATCTGTGACATATCCAAGAAATGGGTAACACTGGTTATGCCTGACATGCAGAATCTCAGGGACCGAGGGACAATGGATCTACTTGAAGAAATCTAAGTAGATTTTCAAAATTTTGAGAATTTTGAACCTTGCAAATGTATTTATTCAAAAAGTCAAAAGTATTTGGCTCTGTTGTTTCATAGCTTTACACTGCCAGAAACCAACCATAGCTCTTCTATCAGATACCTGCTAGATTCATGAACCACTCAGCCAGAGCTTGGAGGAATTTAAATGTCCTCATCCAATTTAATACACCTTTACTAACCACACAACATGTAAGCTGATGTGTTGTATTATTCTTTCCAGTTTCCCAGTATAGACAGGCAATGACCTCTCACGTCCAACAGAGTCAGGGACACAGTAAGACAGCTGACTTCCCATGGCATCCAGTGTCACACCTCCCCTTCACAGTCCCAGAGCCCTTCAGTGTCAAAAATGACTCCCAAGTCCAAATGGCCTGGGTAGAAGAGAGGACCACCGAAGGCAAAAGGGACATTTCCTCACTTATCCTCCTGTGAGGACATTTCAAGGACACCTTTTCTCTATCATGTCCTCTTTAAGCCAGTATACCAGTTATCTGCCAAACTTAATAGGTGGATATATACAGGTTGCCTCTCATCTCTGTTTGGTAAATAGTAATTTCCAGGCAGAGGGAGAGTCACAATATTTTGAATACAAAAGAGCAATAGTGAGCACACGGACAACCTGGAGCAGACATGAGGACAAGAGGAATCATGCGGCATGCTTCTGGGGGACAAAGGCTTGTCTAGTAGCAGGGTTCTAACCACACGATGCACTTACTTATTTGAAGATAATTTATTCCCTTCTTACTAGAAAGAAAATATGCATCCCTGTGGGACATGGGAGTACCCTACAAAGAGGCACACAGTCATAACAACACTGATCGCCGCCCCTAGCCAGGACACACCAAGACTTAAATGTCTAAGGAAAAAAAGCACATAAACTTGGAACCAAAACATAATAATATGGGCAAATAATTAATTGGCCATCCTCTGTCATATGAAGGGGGGACCCAAAAAACCCGAAATTATTTTTTGGAGGGTGGGCCCCTTGCAGTACAGGCTTATCAGCTAGTTAAGTGTTCGAGGAATCCATCGGCATCAGTGCACCAATTAGCCTTGTTGTGAGAGGCTGTGTTGTGGAAGAAATGTCCCGAGTTGTGGCAAACAGCCAACTGGTTCTTCCACCATGACCATGGACCTGCCCAGCCCACACCACGCTGAGTGTTCAGCAATTTCTGACCAAAGACTCCATGACCCCCGTGCCCCACCCTCCCTATTCATCTGATCTCACCCCAAGTGACTTTTTGTTTCCCCGATGAAGGAACTCCTCATAGGGAAATGTGCTGCCACTGTGAAAGAGGTGAAACAAAAAATGGCAGAGGCACTAAAAGGCATCACAATAGATGAGTTCAAAAACTGTCTTGAGCAGTGGAAAAAGTCTTGATAGGTGTATTGCATCAAACAGAGACTACTTTGAAGGTGACTGAAGTTAAATGTAAGGGTCAATATACGATTTTTCATTAAAAAATTACATTTTTTTCAGGTCCCCCTTGTGTGGTTCCTTGGCTGTAACAGAATAACAACCCTAAATGCACCCAACACAGCCAGTAGTTCCTAAAACATTCCTTCCCAAAAATGAAATGGAAAGATGAAATGTGCCAGCAAGGGGTGAGGCCAACTGGAGAAAGCCCTCCAGGGCTCTGCCCAAGTAGCTCAGCAGGGCTCATGCCATGGGATGCTGGCCTGCCCACAGCAGTGACAAGGACTAGATGATGGATGCTGATGTCCCAAACCGGCTGTCAACACTAAGAAAGCAGCTGGATGCCAGGGAAGGAAAGGCACTGGCCTGGGCTCAGGTGTGAGTTCTGGCCCCGCTTCTGCGTTAGCGTGCCCCTTTTCCTCTGGCCAGTGTTCTCACGTGTAAAATGAGAATCACTGCCTCTGTGAGCTCACACAGCCCTCTAAGGTGTACAAGGCTTCCATCCTGTAATTCCATATCATCTCTCAATGATATCTCAATAAAATCGTAACTATCAGCAGCAGAATATGGGTTCACCTCTGGGTTATTCCTCCAGAGATGGACTGTCAGGGCGGTTAAGGCCATGCAAGAACCAAATTAGCAAGAGGGAGCTGAGGGGTCTGTCAACTCCCAGGAGCCCCGAAAAGCCTTCTGATCCCCAAAGAAGATGACCAGATGGTAGACAACAGTCCCTTTCCCGCAGATTTTACTACAAGGAGATACTAGTAGTCAGAGATTGCTAGTAGCTGTCCCCATCCAATCCCCCTCAGTCACCCACCCTAGCCCTGGCCACAGACCTTCTTGATGTACCGTTTATCTGCCCTCGATTACACTCACCTGGGAATCAGGAGCCCTGGGGCCTGACTGCTAGTCCAACTCTGATGGGATTTGGCTTCCACAGGGTCTGTTCCCCTTGCTCATCTGGAAACCTGCTCACCCAGAGCAACCTCACCTTGGACTAAAGAAGTTCCAGAAGCAGCTCTGTTGTCAACTGGCAAGCATGCTCTTACCTTTGTGCAGAGATCGCCTCAGGGTGTCATCTTTTCAGGACCATCACCAAGATTTAGTGGCCCAGTGTAGATCCCAGCTGTGCTACCATCTAACCAGAAGTGATGGGGAAAATCATTCTAACCTCCTGGGCCTGCCTCTTCATCTGTTAGACCAAGGGGGCTGGACTAGATGGGGTAAGCCCCTTGCCAGATGTAGCAGTCTAAGTCTGTGATTCCCAGGGAGACAGAACCAAAGATGCCGTCCTTAAACGCGGTCACGTGAGGCAGCACAGATCCTGACCAAGCCTCCCTCTAGAGAGTTCATGTGGACTAGGCTTGGTGGACAGATCTACAAGAGATGCTCTAGTATTACCAGGGTTTCCAAATAAAAGGCTTCCAGGACACGTTTCCAGGTGCACGTACCTTGCCCGCATCTACCAGTTCTGCAATTTCATCTAGGTATGGACCACTGGCCATGAAAAAGGCCCAGCGATAGTGAACTCCTTGACAGAAATGCTGAAAAGAAGAAGACAAAACATGTCAGATACAGGAAAGGATAAAATCTGATTAAAAGCAGATTTAGGAAAAAGTATTTTCTGGATGATTGAGACACACTGATTTCCCATTTCATGCTGACGCAATGAGTTGTGTGCCCAGCACCTTATCATGATTACTGACAGAGTGAATACTACAATGATGTGTAATAAACAAACAAACAAAGATAAAGCCATGTCGACTCAGGCTTCTTCCCAAGCTCTGACTGGCAAGCAAGTCAGCGCAGGAAAGCTTTCCCTCAAACGATCGTCTCAATGATCTGACAAACTGGATTTCTTCTCTGGATGGAACTGGGGGTGAGACCTTCAGGCTTCCCCTACTAAGGTTTGAATAAAGCCCAGAGCACTGGAAAAGAGGTTTGTACCAAATTAAACTATGCTCTGGGGCAATAGGCACCAAAATAACACCTTGGATAAAAAACCCAATCACAAAACTTTTCCTGCTCTGACAAGAATAAGGCAATTTTAAAGGCAACACAAAGTATAAACCTTTGCATCAGGGCTGAGTCTACAGATATGGCAAGTACCAAGCCATCCACTCTATTATGGAACAGAACCTCTCCAAACGAAGATGAGCCAAACTCTTATGCCAAGGGAGTCCATAACCACTCCACCACTTCTGACTGTATTCTTGATGTCGAAGAAGGATGGGCCAGCACCAACACAGCAAATGAGCTGAGGTTCTTCCTGACACTTCAGTCACCTACCCAACCAAGTTTCGTGAGATAGAAGCTATCTGAGGTGGGAGAAGTCAGCCAGCACCCAAGTGTCGCTCTCCCCATGTCTGTCCCAACTGCTGGGTATGCGCAGACTTCTTTTCCACTGAGCTTACCCTCTGCCTCACTCCTTCAGCATGATCTACACAACTACCATGGCATGAGGCTGGCAAGTGTCATGGCACTCCTTGCTATCCTAGAGCTCAGGCACTTACTAGTTGGGTTGATTTGGGTCAAATTACCTCTTTCAGCCCATTTCTTGGCCTATAGAATGGTGGTATCAGCACCTAGCTCACAGGGTTGTTGGTATAATTAAACAAGAATGCATACAAAATGCCTGACACCCAGCCTGAGCAACTTGGTGAGGCCTCATCTCTATAATAAATCAAGAAAATTAGCCAGGCATGGTGGCACGCACCTGTAGTTCCAGCTACTTAGAAGACTGGTGCAGAAGGATCCCCTGAGCCCAACAGGTCGAGGCTGCAGTGGCCATGAGCTGTACTCTAGCCTGAGCAACAGAGTGACACTTCTACTCAAAAAAAAAAAAAAAAAAAAAAAAAAAATGCTTGACACACAGAAAGCATTCCATAAATATTTGTCCAGTGCTGAAAGTAAAGCTTAGTGAGGAAAGACTGCGATGATATCCAATCCGAGTTTAAGCATGTAGAGAAACCAAAAAAACAAAGCTTCCAACTGGGGTTCCAGGGCGGCTTACTGGGCAAGTGACCCTATAGCTTATCAGCTAAATCAGAACAACTGTGAGAATTAAAGGAGTCACCATTAATAATTAACCCAGGACAAAAGATGCAAACAACGTCAAGATTACTCTGGAAGAAGTGCGAGATCGAGAGTAGCAAGGCAGAGCCTGGGCTGGTAGAAGTCTCCAGATAGGTTACTCTTGGCCCAGAGCAGCCTCAATGTGCTGTTCAAACATGATCATTTTCTATGCATGTCATGGCGTGACAGAGGTTGAAATGTACTGGTATAGGCAACTAAGTCAGAAAGAAAAGAAAAAAAGCTGTTGGAAGGCTTATAAGGCTAGACACCACAAGTGCTGAGAATGTCCCAAGCTTCCTGTGGGCCCAGTTAATGACAATCACAGAAGACCCGTCCAAGTCCTTCTCCTAAGGTCTGGCCTCATGGACCACAGTTAAAACATTCTGGTAACTGTTTAGGGTATTAAAGAAAGGACAGATGGTCACAAGTGCCACATCTACAATTCTTCATAGCGTGTTACTCTGTAAAGTGAGACTTGTCTGCAGTGGCAGATTTTTAATATTCTGCTACACGTGTCTGTGTGTCTTTTCCCAGGCCTTTATGGGAGAGACAGTAAACCGAAGCAGGAGCATCAGAGCCTGACAATGAGGCTTTAACTGCACACACGCTCAGAAAGACATTGGAAACTACCTGAAAGGTTTTCACATGAGATCATCACGATCATCTTTCAAGTAGGGGGAAAAGAGAAATGAAGACAGCTGTGCCTGTTTGCTTTTCAGAGGACAATCCTGAAGGTTAACTTGGAAGATGTCTCACTAGAGTACCAACTGTGGAATCTTACAGAAACTCAAACTTACATGTTAAAGTAGAGGAAAGTTGGGGTTTTGTGATAAGAGAAGGATAGACAAAGGACAGCTAAGGTCCCTTCTCCACCACAAAGCACCCTGTGACACTGCTTCTGGTGGTCACCTGATCACACGAAAATAAAGAGGCCCAGAGAGCAGGGCTTGGCTTGTTCATCTCACAACAGCTGAGTCACAGTCTCCCCACAGCTCTTCGTTACTACCACTAAGAATTCAGTTAGGATACAAAACTCAAGTGACCAGAGTCCTAAATATCACCCCCAAAAGGTCCCAAATTAATTTCTAGAATAAAGATCGGTACTAAAGATAATTCTCACGCCAGTCACTTCACGAACACAGGTTAAGTGTCATCCAGTGGGAGTCACTGGACCAGTAGTGACTTTTTTACTATTGAGAAACTTTCTACTGCCTTTTTCCTGAGTCTGAAGCATTTTGCCTAAAAAAAAAAAAAAAAAAAGATTTATCTTTACTTTTTCTAACACGTATTCCATTTCAACACTAACCCAGATTTTAGACCAATGATCTACAGTTACCAACAGTTTAGAACGTGAAATTCTATAAGGCTCGGTCCCCTCTATGACAATAGGTTACCACATTATGTAGAGAATAGACTCTCAAGCAGTCTTGAAGCTCAGGTTGATATGTGCTAGTTTCTAAGGCCCACCGCAGCATATGTGTTCAGTTTGGGGCTTCATATGACCCTGATGATAGTGGCCCTGTTAACAGAGCTGGGCTGACTCTCCAAGCCCCAGATGCTTCTATAAGGCCATCAATAGCTAGTTTCTTTCTTTCTTTTAAAGAAAGCAGGATTTATTGAGAGGACAGAAAAGCTCCCACAGTGGGAGGGGACCCGAAGGAGTTGCCCCAATAGCTAGTTTCTAATTCACTTGGGATATGCAGTGTTAGAAAAGTTGATACAAACCCAGCAAAGGCTGGAGGGCTCCTTAGTCTTGTGGAGCTTCCTTGAAGTCAGAGTACAATTTCTTTAAACTTCTTGAAATTCGAAAAAAGCCCATACACCTCTAAAGGTCTGAAAGCCCCAGTGTGGGATTACCAGTCTATCCCAACGCTACTACCATGAAAACAGCAGCCATACACTATCTGAACAAAGTTTCCACCTTTACATATCAGCGACTGTATGTGTTAAGACTGGTGAAACAGAGAGCTGTCGCGTACAGGTAAGAAGCAAGCAGATGGTGTGTCAGATGGAATCAAGAGAGGCAATAGTAGGTAACAATACAGGCTAACAGTTACTAAGAGCTTTTCACATACTAGGCAAGTCCAAGTTCTTCACATGGATTATCTCTTAATCTTACAACAATGCAGTGAGGTAAATATATTATCAGACCCATTTACAGGTGAAGACACTGGGGCTTAGAGATGTTCAGTAACTTGCACGGGGTCACAGAGCTACTAAGCAGAGGTCGGAATCTGAACCCAGTCAGGTCGGAATCTGAACCCAGTCAGGGTGGCTCAGGGTCCACTCGCAGCCACCGTGCAATCCGTCTTCAGGAGAGGAGAAACTGGTTGGCTGGCAATCCGATTTGCACATCAAAAGGCACCCCGCATTCTCACCAGCCGAGACCCTCTTCCCACCTTCAGTGTCTTGGAACCCACGGTGACTCCTGTCTGCAACATGCCATCTGCTAGGCCCAGCCGGTCCACATTCAGGAGGAAAGGAGTCACCAAGGTCACATAGGTTGCACCTGCCCACTTCTTGAGAAAGTCGAGGGCCCATTTCTCGGTGGATCCGCCAACATTATCGAGGATAAAATCAAACCTGCAGAGAAAGAATCAAGACATCCTTGTCAGCTTTCACACTGGACTCTGATCCTCCCTCACTGTCATCGCCAGTTGGTTACGGGGTTTATTTCAATGACAACTTGCAAACCGTGCTGCACCAGGCCATCCTGAAGAGGGGTGGCTGATTTGACAGAAGAGAAGGACACACCCACTCACTCACAGGATCTACAGCATTTTTCAAAGGCAAGTCAAATGTGACTAAGTTGCTTCTGTCGTAAAATCATTTTATTTTCGAATACTGTAAGAATGACTTAAGCCAGGTGCAGTGGCTCATGTCTGTAATCCCAGTACTCTGGGAGACCAAGGCAGGCAGATTGCTTGAGCACAGAAGTTTGAGACCAGCCTGGGCAACATAGCAAAACCTCATCTCTACAAAAAATTTTTTAAAAAATTAGCCAAGTCTGGTGGTACACACCTGTAGTCCCAGCTACTCAGGAGGCTGAGGTGGGAGGATCACCTGACTACAAGCAGTTGAAGCTGAAGCTGTTGTGAGCTGCGTTCATCATGATCATGCTAATACACTTCAGCCTGGGTGACAGAGTTAGACCTTGACTCCAAAAAAAAATGACTTAAGTGGTTCTGAACAGAGGGTGATTTTGGCTTCCTGCAATACACAGAATAGCCCCTCACAACAAAAAACATTATTCAGGCCAAATGTCGATTGCTGAGAAACTAAAGTTACCAAAGTTGAGAAACACTGACTTTAGCTTCATAGAAAACTGCAAAGCTATCTGTTCACTATAAAGTAATCTTTAATGCACATGAATACTTGATAGAAAAGAACACAAGGTTTTCACCCACAAGAATGGTGTTCTTTTATTCCTTCCACAGTCAGAAATGCTTGTAGAAGCATCCTCTTCACCTTCAAGAATTTTCTATTCTTTGGCTTCACATACAGCATCAGGATAATACATAAAGGGAAATCAACAGCATGCTCTAACATGCCAAAAAAAATTCCGTCATAACGGAATCCACAGGAACTGACAGATAGTCAACTCCTTAAATCTAACCTAAAACTGCTATAATCTCTATATTCTACCTAAAGGGGATAAAAATCCAATGAAACTTTTACATATTTTTGAAAACAAAGATCTATTTAGAGAAGGTATGCATATAAATTAAACAAATCAATTGACAAAGTCCTCTTTAGTAAACCTTTCTCTTCTAAGTTCTTCTGGATGAAGTCAAACATCCAAACTTCTAAAACCAGCTTTGGACAACTTTGTAGATCTTGGATCTTCTGTGGAGCTAAACTAAAATAGGGCAAATAAAAATGGGAGGACAGGAAATGCAGAAGAGCAGCTTTGCTAGATGGCCACTCTTCTCATTGGAAAAGCACCTACTTCATTCCCAAGTTCTGAATAAGTAAATATGAGGACATTTAATTTAAAGAAAATTCAAGGGCTGCCTGGCACTACAGAGCAGTCCAACATTCCACTATCTGAAAAAGATGCCTAGTGACCAGGCTGTACACCCAACTCTCCCACGAATGACTTGGGGTGTGAGCATGCAAAAACTCATAAACCCTCCACTGCCCCTCATTTTCTCAACTGTAGCATGATAGGGTTGGATTGAAGGATTGCAAAGTCCCTTTTTGCTGTAACACTCTAAATTCAAATACCTAGAAACCTACTTGGAAGGAGCAACAAATTTATGCTAGGTAGTAGACTCAGAGGTCAAACTTGAGGCGCAAGTTACAAAGATCAATTTTAACTCAGGCTGTCAAAGAAGAAGAAAAAGTCGTAGTAATGGCCTGCAATTGCAAGCTAGGAAGGTACCCCAACTGAAGCACAGGCAAAAGGAGCAAAACCAATTGCCAGAAACGCCAAGGAGGAAACCATAGTACTGGGTTGGGAGGCTAGATTGAGTGTCCTCCAGCCTTTCACCAGTCAAGCTCTCCTATTCTCAGGTGACAAATTCCAGACTCAGATAAAACTTGAGGTAGATGAAGGGGAAGGGGCTGGTCTTGGCCAGTTTCATGCTGCTACTCCTAGAAGCAGCAAAAGATACAAGATCAACCCAAACTACTGCTATCTAGAAGCCAGATCTTGTAGACCTGTCATGTCCTCACCTTCAAGGGAAACAGAGAGACTTAGGCCCTGACACAGAAGCAGGAGCTAGCTGATGAGATCCCTGCAAGGGACAGTGCTTGTCCTCAGACATGCCAAGCGTATTCCTGACATGGGACCTTTATATTTGCTGTTCTCTCCAGCTGGAACAACTGTTCTCCTAGAATCTCTCAATAGTTAGCTGGGCACGGTAGCTCATGCCTGTAATCCCAGCACTTTGGGAGGTGGAGGCGAGAGGACTGCCTGAGCTCAGGAGTTCGAGACCAGCCGGGGCAACTTGAAGAAACCTCTTTTCTATAATAAATCAAAAAATCAGCCAGGCGTGATGGTGCATCCCTGTGGTTCCAGTTACCTGGAAGGCTGAGGCAGAAGGATCCCCTGAGCTCAGCAGGTCGAGGCTACGGTGGCCGTGAGTGTACCACTGCACTCCAGCGTGGGCTACAGAGTGAGACTCTGACTCAAAAAAAAAAAAAATTAACCCAATATGAGGGGGAACCCCCAAAAAACTGGAATTAGTTTTTGGAGGGAGGGCAGGCCCCTTTTAGTACAGGCTTCCCATGCTAGGTAAGTGTCCTATGAACCCATAGGCATCCATGTACCAGCTAGCATTGTGAAAGGCTGCATTTGGCTTCAGTGAAGTTTTTTGGAGGTTCTTTCGATGTGCTTGCCCATTTCATGATGGTGATTTATGAGTGCACCTGCTCTTACCATGCTGAATATTCAGCAGTTTTCGAGCAGAAATGGCATGACCCTGTGCCCCACCCTCCCTATTCACCTGATCTCACCTTGAGTGATTTTTTTTTACATTTCCCCAGATGAAAAAAGTCCTCAGAGGGAAACACAAAACAACAGAAGCGCTAAAAAGCATCAAAATGGACGAGTTCAAAAACTGTTTTGAGCAGTACAAAAAGCCTCTTGATAGGTGTTTTGCATCAAATAGAGTACTTTGAAGGTGACCGAAGTTTCAACATGTGAGAATTAATACACAATTAATTTTTATAAATAAATTCCATTTTGGGGGAGTTCCTCTATTATTGAGCACCTTCTACATGCTACTACATTGATCCAGGTGGAAGAACACATCAGGGAACAATACACATAATCATCCCATTCACGTAACATGCTCCACTGTTGCTTCCTGAAAGAGATATTCCCTAACCACCTGTCTATAACACCTATCCAACCTATCCCCTTTCTCTGCATCAGTTTTCTTACAGCACTTACCGCCACAGACCCCCGGACAAGAAGAAAGCTCCACAAGAGTGGGCATTTGTCTCGCTTGCCCCTGCATCTGTGTTTAGCAGCCCCCCGGGCCAGACTGGGTGCTCCACACACAGCTGTAGGACTCAGGAGTTGGCTGGCTGCCCAGAGTGCCCGCCACACCACTGCTAGAAGCCAGTAGCACTGGCAGGCAAAGGCCGGGCAGCGTCAGATAGGGACTCCGTCTTTTTTTAACCCATGAAAATATACTTCTCAAAGTAGACAAGAATAATCGGCTTCTGAAAACTAATCAAAAATGGGAAAAAACTTTTGAAATAGAATTAGTAAAACAGCTTTCCAAATACCTCTCAGCTATACTCTCAGCTCCAGTGCTGTCTTGGCTAGATGAAGATTAGATAGGTGAGCCTGAGCCACGTCAGAATCAGCAGGGCCTGAGAAAATCCCCGAGTCTGCTCCTGTTTGCCACCTCAGGCCAAACCGCAGTGTGGCACTCAGACACACTGAGAGCCTTCACGGTGCCCCACCCCCAACACTCATGATCACATAAGTTCTCCCAAGCCCGGATGAAGCTGAAACATCGAAAGGGCACTTCGTGAGAATGAGGTATATTCGTGAGCTGCTCTGTAATCTTCCAGTGGTGACAGATGCCACAGAAGGGAATATACTTCAGTGTTGTCTTCAGACCTCTTAGGAACCAGCAATAAAAGTGAACTGAGAAACTAGCAAAAGACCACATAAGTAAAATAACTCCCTCAATACATACCACCTTATGCTATTATGCTGTAGTAACATCTGTAAGTGATTTCTGGTGACAGGAAAGTTTCTAGATTCTTCTCTACGATTCCAACATGACTGTAAAGTCACCACAACATCTCAGACCTGCAATGTCAGCTGTCCTTGTCCCCACTTCAGTGTGAACACTGTTCTGATACATACGGTTTCAAGGATTTCAATTGCTCTTCCACGTTTCCAGATTTGTAATCAATTATATCGTCTGCTCCAAGCTTCCTCACAAGTTCACTGGCGTCTTGAGAGCAAACTGCTGTCACATGAGCATCCCACGCCTTCATTACCTGCTCCCCCCCAAAAAAGAGAAGAGGTAAGTAGAAAAACTGACAACATCAAGGAAAAAAAAGCACCATATGTACATATCTCAGACTAACTGCCAGAGATCTTGGAGTATCTCATCTTAACAAAATGAGAAAGGGAGCCATTTCTGAGACTAGTAAAAATGATTAAACTTTTGTTCACTAAGAAAATCCTAAGAACTCGATCTAACTTCCCCTAGCTGAGACAGCAGTAGCCTTGGTATCATGAAGTTATAAGCAATCTACTCAGAGAAGGACTGAGTGCCTGCCTCACCAGCATCAGAAAAGACAGAGGTTAATAGCCTCAAATTTGGCACATTCAAGGATGACAAAAGTCAATGACCAAAAGTTTTTTTTTTAATGCATGTGCTGCTGGGCACAATGCTCAAGACTGTAATCCCAGGACTTTGAGAGGCCGAGGCAAGAGGATTGCCTGAGTCCAGGGGTTCGAGACCAGCCTGGGCAACTTGGTGAGAGCTCGTCTCTACAGTAAATCAAAAAATTAGCTGGCATGGTGTTCCAGGCATGGTGGAAGGCTGAGGTGGAAGGATCGCCTGAGTCCAACAGGCCGAGGCTGCAGTATACTTATGAGTGTGCTACTGCACTTCAGCCTGGGTGACAGAGTAAGACTCCAACTCAAAAAATTAAAAATAAAAGCATGTGCTCAGAAGATGGCTATTTTAAAATGCAACATCTCTCCACTTGCATCTGCAATAAGTGTTAACACAGTCTTGAGTCAGTCAGTATATCAAAGTAACCAGTTATTAAGTACTAGGTAATAAAGGTGCTCCTAAAAAGCAGGGGAAGAAAACATGTTCATTTTATTTTTAAAATATAGGTCGGGTCCTGGCTCTTAGAGTAAGAAGACCTAAATAAATTGTCTTTAGGCTTTAACATGCAAATGCTTGTTTTAAAATAATAAAGAATAACTAGATTTAAATAAAAAGAAAAGCCACATTCTAATGTTATTAAGAATTAAGTATCCAGAAAATAGCTACTTGAAAATTGCTGTAATTCTTTTCTATAAAGTCAGTTTCATAAAATTAAAAGGGGACTATCTTCTGCTGAGTACAGTGGCTCATGCCTGTAATCTCAGCATTTTGGGAGGCCAAGGTGGGAGGACTGCCTGAGGCCAGGAGTTCAAGGCCAGCCAGAGCCACATAACAAGACCCCATCTCTACCAAAAAAAAAAAAAAAATGTAGCTGGGCGTGGTGGCATGTGCCTTTAGTCCCAGCTACTTGGGACTACAGCTACCACATGGAGGCCCAGGAGGTCAAGGCTGCAGTGAGCCATGATTCTGCCACTGCACTCCAGCCTGGGCAACAGAGCGAGACACTGTCTCAAAAAAAAAAAAAAGAAAAAAAAGAAGGGAGGTGGGGAATGGGACCATTTCCAGCCTAACTTGAGAACAGCTACTTGGAGCTCACCAAGACATTTTGTTCTGACAGTCCCAGGTGGTAGCAGATCAGCTGCTTTCCCAATCCTGCCCTTGGTGTCGATTTCCTGGGCTTCCTCAATATAAGTTGCAACGGTTCACTAGAGCACAAGGGGTCTGTGTGTGTTTTGCTCACTACAGAATCTCCACTCCACAGCACACAAAGGTGCTAAATATATGTCTGCTAAATATAAAAACTAAGGCTCTTATATTCATTCATAATCTTACCTGGTTTCTCATTTTTAAAAGCAATATTAACCCAGGATTTATATGTCCTGGAAAGCTGAGGGGAATTAAAACATTTAGAGGTGACATCATATGCCGGTAACTGTTTATGGGTTGCAAACAGAGAAACTTGTGTATAATGGCATGTTGCTTTTCACAGTGAGTTCCAAATCACATTCAAATACGTAAAGAATAAACTCCAACATGAACAGCTCATGATAATCACCCTTTCTCCAATATCTATATATTTTTAAAAGCTGCTAAAGAAAGTTATGTTCTAAGCACCTATATCTAATGTTTTCTTTAAACAGTATTAAATCCATAGGAATAATTTGTGACATGTTGAAACAGTTTTTTTGTTCCAAATTTCTAATTTTTTACTTTTCCACTTAGAACTGTCTATTATCTTTGAACATTACTAAAAGGTTTTTTAAACAGTTTTACTTTCTTTTTAAAAATATATTTTTCTTTTTTTGCTTTTGTTTTAGAGACAGGGTCTCACTTTGTCACTCAGGCTGGAGTGTAGTGGTGTGATCAGAGCTCACTGCAGCCTTGACCTCCTGGGCCCAAGTGATCCTCTCACCTCAGCTTCCCCAATATCTGGGACTACAGGTGCATGCCATCATGCCCAGCTAATTTTTAAATTTTTCTTGTAGAGACAGAGTCTTGCTATGCTGCCTAAGTTGGTTTTGAACTCCTAGCCTCAAGAGATTCACCCACCTTGGCTTCCCAAAGTACAGGGATGACAGGCACAAGCAACTGCCAATGGCCCAAAACAGTACTTGAAAAAACATTTTCATGTGACATAAAACACGACCCCACCCAGATAAATAAACGAAACCCTGGCAGCATTCCAAAAGCTCTTCTATGTGCCCTGTCCAAGCACAAGCTCCCCGCCCCTCAAGTCACTATCTTGATTTTTATAGTCAACACCTCTTTGCATTTTAAAATAAAAGTGTTATCACCCGAATATGCACTCCCTAGATACTACAGTTTAACATGTGTAGTTTTAAAACATGCTATCTTTTAAGTCTTTCTTGAATCATAGGCTCCTCTTCCATCCTTTTGCTTTCTTGTAACTTATCTGTGGAAGAATCCAGGCCATTTGACCCGCAAAGTTTCCCAGAGTCTGGAATTTCTGACTGCCCACTCACGGGACATTCCACGTGTAGTCCTGTCCTCTGACTTTTCTGCAACTTGGCAGATGGATCTAGAGACTGGATCAGCCTCTCTTTCAATCCCTTTAGCAAAACTACAGAAAGTGGCAAAAGTAGGAACAGCAGATCAAGTTTTCTGGTTGCTGTTCTTTTCATTACCTTGGTAGCTGACAGTCCTTAATGCCCATCTGTTTACTGGTGGGGGCAAAAAGTGATGTTCTAATTCTATTTCTTTCCATGTGGTAGCTGGAATATTTCCACAAAGGAACACCTCCCCTCATACACTATTTATCAGTGTATAGTAAACTGGTTCCCTATCATCTTCCAAAAGTAACCACTTTTGAAAAAAAATCATGAACTTAAATATATTTAAAGGGTTTCAACCCACTATAATCCTCATTATTATTACTGAAACTTACATGGTCCCATCTTTGGGAGTTTCTTTAAGCTGGCTCCCGAGTCTTTTGACAAGGTCTTTGATTGTTACCTTGACATTTGATATAGTCCAGGTTAGTTCTCATACATGTTGTGCCCTAGATCTGAAAGCTGCTGTGTCTCCAAGAAGCCCTGCATTGTTTTTGTGAGAAATGATATTTCAAGAGATAGCTTTACATACACACATACACAAAATACCTATGGAGTTCATATTCATCCTTGCCATTCAAATATAACCTTTTGTTCTCTTGTATCTCTAGCTCCTTTCTTCCACACCTAGGATGCTAGGTTTCAAAGACACAGGGATGACAGAATTAAAATATGCCATCACACAGGGAATGGTATAATGGACACTGGAGACTCAGAAAGGGGAGGGTGGGAAGGGGTGGAGCAATAAAAAATCACCTATCAGGTACAGTGTACACCAGTGGGAGTAGTAGGTGCACTTAAATCCCAGACTTCTTTGCTACTATACAAGGCAACCATGTAACCAAAAACTATTTGCGCCCCTTAAAGCTACTGAAATAAAGAAAAAAAATCACACACACACAAATATGCCACCAATACTCACTTGTTCTCTTATATACTACACATGTAACAGTCTCTGAATAATACTATCACCATTAATGTAGAGTATTAAAGTAATTTAAACATATGTTCTCCCTGTTTTCCCCTAAAAAATAGCTGCACCATAGTTATGTTGTTGGAGGATATGGTTGTCATACACTACACACTCTGCTTCTAAGCCCTCATTCAGTTTTGTTATGTAGGTAACTACATTCACCCTCAGTCCCGAAAATGTCTTCCTAGTCATTTTAGCTGTCAGAAGCTTATTCTCAAATAGGTTCCTCAGAAAGGGATCACAAGAACAATATTTCCCAATTTCTTGCATGTTGCTAACAGTCTGTATGTGTTTATTATAACCAAAGGCCAGTTTTGTTGTAGAAAAAATTATTGGCATACTCTTCCTTGAGTATCTTAAATATGTTACTCCAGGTCAAGTGTGGTAGCTCACACCTATAATCCCAGCACTTTGGGAAGCAAAGGCAGGAGGATTGCTTGAGCCCAGGAGTTCAGGACCAGCCTGGGCAACAGTGAGACTTCATCTCTACAAATTAAAAAAAAAAAAAAAGTTAGCTAGGCGTGATGGCACATGCCTGTGGTCCCAGCTACTTGGGAGGCTAAGGTGGAAGAATCTCCGAGCCCAGGAGTTTGAGGCTGTAGTGAACCATGATATGCCACTGCACACCAGCCTGGGTGACAGAGCAAGACCCTGACTCAAAAAAAAAAGTTACTCCATTTTATTTTTTGCTGCAAAAGTGTTACTGTCAAAAAGTCTGATGGTAATCTAGTCTTATTTTTCTTATAAATCATATGCTTTTTTGGCTAGATGCCCAAAGGATCTTTTTTCCTTCTTTCTTTAAAGAATAGCAAATTTAATAGAATTTTTCTTGGTATTTTTACTAGTAATTCTCCTTGGTAGTGCTCATCCTGGGTCCACGTTCTTGGAGAAGTGATATGGTTTTTCAATATGTAATTTTGAGTCGTTTAATTTCAGGACAATAGGAAAGTTTCTTGATTGTTTTAGTGTCTGTTTTTACTTCTCTGCTTGGTTTCCCTCTTCAGGGACTCTTATCATGCATATATCAATTTTCTTTGCCTGTCTTCAAAATTTGACACTTTCTCTTATATCCATTTTTATCTTTTGCTTCTTTTGTAACTTAAACGTCTTCCCGCACTGTTTCTAAGGGCGTATTATGTGATATGCTTATTTGCTATTGCATTCCTCCTAGTTTGGTCCTCACCTGATCACAACAGAAGCAGCTACTGGGCCCCATCCTGTTTCTGGAGGCTTGGGTAACTGTTTTATTTGAGGTAAACTTCATATAACATATAGTTCACCATTTTAACAACGTTTAAGAATAAAGTATTTTTGCAGCTTTTAATACATTCACAATGTTGCACAACTAATTCCAGAATATTTGTAGCACCCCAATATAACCCTCATGCCTATTAAATAATCATTCCCTGCCATCCACAGCCCCTGACAACCACTAATCTGCTTTCTGTCTCTACGGATTTGCCTATTCTGGACATACAGTATTTAAAAAAATCACAATATGTAGGATCTTTTGTGTCTGGATTTTTTCATTTAGCACAATATTTTAAAGGTTCATCCATGTTATGCATCAAAATTTCATTCCTTTTTATGGCTAAATACTATCCCATTGTATGTATAGATCACATTTTGTTTATCCATTTATCAATTGATAGACCTTAGGGTTTTTTCCACTTTTTTCACTATTATAGATAATGCTGTTGTGAACATATGTGTAAAAGTTTATGTCTGAATGTTTGTTTTCATTTCTCTTGGGTACATACTTAGGAATGGGATTGCTGAGTCTTACGTTAATTCTGTGTTTAACATTTTGAAGATCCAACAAACTGTCTCCCGCAATGGCTGTACCATTGCGGGAGTAATGTAAGAAGGTTTCAATTTCTCTACATCTTTGCCAATATTTGTTATTTTCTATGTGTTTACCTTTCATTGCAGCCTTTCTAGTAGGTATGACATGGTATCTCACTGGGATTTTGATTTGCATTTCCCTAATGACTAAAGACATTGAACATCTACTCATGGACTTATTGGCCACATATATTTTCTTTGAAGAACTGTCTATTCAAGTTCTTAGCTAATTTGTAAGTAGGTTATCTTTTTATTGAGTTGTGAGAGGTTTTTTTTTTAAAAAAAAATACATGTTCTAGATGCCAGACCCTTATCAGATAAGTGATTTGCAAATATTTTCTCCCATGCTGTGGGTTGTCTTTTTACTTTCTTGGTAATGTTCTTTGATGTACAAAAGTTTTTAATTTTGACAAAGTATATACTTCATCTATGTTTCTCTTTGGCTGTTTGTGTCATATCTAAGAATCTGAGGTCATAAAGATTTACTGTTTCCTTCTAAGAGTTTTATTTTTCTTTCCCCAACATCTCTTCTAAGAATCTTATGGTTTTAGCTCTTATATTTAGGTCTTTGAATCATTTGGAAAGTTTTTTAAAAAATATATGATATTTAAGGGTCCAACTTCGTTCTTTTGCATATGGATGTCGTATTGTCCCAGCAGCATTTGTTGAAAAGACTATTCTTTTACCCAATTAATGGTCTTACCATTCTTGTTAGAATCAATTGTCCATAGATGTATGTGTTTATTTGTGGATGTTCAATTCTATTCCATTGATTTTTACATTTTGATTACTTTAGCTTTATGGTAAGTTTGAAATCAGGAAGTGTGAGCCTTTCAACTCTACTCTTGTTCAAGATTGTTTGGCTATCTGGGGTCCCTGGCAATTCCATATGCATTTTAGGATAAACCTGTTCACTTACGAAAAAAATGCAGCTGGCATTTTGATAAAGACTGCACTGAATGTCTAGATCACTTTGGGAGAGTACTGCCTATCTTAACAGTATCATGGCTGTTGCATTTCTATATACATTTTGGAATATACATTTTGGAATCAGCATGTCAATATCTACAAAAATCCATGCAACAATTTTCATTGAAGACTAACAATGGTTTTGGCATTGGCTGTTTCCTACCAAATTTCAAACTTCCATCTACCTGCACTGCCCATGGTCTTCCTCCCCAAACGTTTTCCTACATTTGTTATGCAGGACAGCCACAGATCCACTCATACATTAAACTACTAGAAAGCTTAGTGCTTCCTGCATGTTAGAACATTTTCCTCTTAGAGAACAAGCTGAAATTACAGTGCATTTACCAAACCTACTTTTCTCTCAGCTTTTACGGAAAAATGATTTACAATATGTGAATGTACAAATTCATGTAAACAAAATCTTCCTACTCACAAGATGAAAAAATTATTTTACCTGTATAGCAAAAGTACCAACTCCGCCTGAAGCGCCTAAGATTAAAATGCTGCAATGCAAAAGAAACCACAATTAATGAGAGTCGGAACTGGATAAATAAGATGTTTCAACATGTAACTGACTAGGTGATAAATAAATCCAAGAGCAAACAGTTATTCTGTTTCCCGAGATTATATTACACAAGGATTTTTATTTAGGTTCACTAAGACGCTGCAAGTGCTTAAGGTTAGATGCGCTATGACGTCTTCACCAAGAATAGCAAATACCAACAATGTGTGTGTTTGTTTCCTTAGGAAACTCAGAGGGTACTTTATAACATCTGCCTTATAATTTTTCTAGGCTAAAATTACCATAGCTTCTTCTATAAGAGAAGTTTCTCTTGGGGTTCTTTGGAGTGTGTCAGACTTTAGTTGCTCTCTAAGAAAAAAATCACATTCCTGATCACATTCCCGCCAAAGTAGAATAAACGTTTTTTGTTTAGACATGTCCTGTCAAGCTCGTCAACTTTCAAAAACTCAGCCTCACCCTTGATCTAGCTTCCTGTTAAAGCAGAGGCAGGTGTCCAATCACACAACCATCCTTGCGCAATGGGTTCTCATCGCATTTGCTCACTGTGGCCCTCAAGACCAGGGCACCGAACCCGGAGTTTATGGCTGAGCTTGGGGGAAGGGGGGGCAAGGGTGATGGGGTAGGTGAGGAACTAGGAACCCTCTGAAATTGTGGATTTCCTAAACTAACGTGTGTGGATTTCCTAAAATGTGTGTGATTAGGCATACACGCACTGGCAAGGAGAAGAATGAAGACCAAAGAAGTGTGTGATCCAAGAGAGAATCATCGGTCAAAAAGCTGTTTCACATGCTCTAACATTTCATTCTTGAATCAAGTGAGCGCTTCAGAGAACTGCCTGCTTGGACTACATGATTTCAGGTCCTCAGAAAATTGTTTGTGCTGAACTGTATACCTTGGTGTCACACTACTGACCAAGGCCAAGGGACATTATAAAAAGTGACTGTTTGATATCTGATACTATATCAGCTAAGGAGATACTGCTGAAAGAAGTCTTCAGTTGAATTCTCCTTATGAGTACTCACAGAAAGATATTTTTTCTGAACATTAAGTGGAGGGAATATTTCAGCTAGTTAACTGTCACTACAAATTGAGTAACTGCTAGCTGTGGGTCTCCTCATTGCCTTGGCTGCCAGAAAGTACAGAGAATCTTGCCACCTATCTCTAGCAAATACACCAAGCCTTGGAACATTATTATTATTCTGTCTAGAATTTTAAACCTAGTTTCATTCCATTTTTTTTCTCTCCTCTTTGTATCTTAAAAGTTACTACTAGGCCAGGCTCGGTGGCTCAGCCTGTAATCCCAGCACTTTAGGGGGCCGAGGTGAGTGGACTGCCTGAGCCAGCCGATTCGAGACCAGCCCGGGCAACTTGGTGAGACCTCGTCTCTACAATAAAATAAAAAATAGCCGGGCATGGTAGCACACGTCTGTAGTTCTGGGCTACTTGGAAGGCTGAGATGGAAGAATCACTAGAGCCCAGAGGTCGACGCTGGGGTGGCCATGAGCATGCCACTGGACTCCAGTCTGGGCAAAGGAATAAGACTCCAGCTCAAAAAAAAAAAAAAAGTTACTACTAAAATTTCTGAACCAATTGTTCCCTTTGAAATTAATACCATTAAATGTAATTAAAACAAGTCTTGTGAATTGTGTTCCTTCTAGAAGGGCTCATTTTAATTTCATAGGGTTATAAATTATGGGTGGGTATAGTGGTTCACACCTGTAATCTTCTTTCCCTGAGTACCAGTTCACACTGGCCAGGGGTGACCAGCTCACCCAAAGCCCGTGGCCCACAACAGTGGTTGGGGCCACCATGTACCCATGTGCAACATGCTTCTGAATACCAAATTAAGAAGGAAATTAATAAGAACATAAAAAAATTCTCAAAGCAAATGAAAATAGAAATGCAACATACCAAGATCTATAGAATAGAGTAAAAGTACTATGAGAGAAGTTTATAGCAATAAATGCCTATACCAAGAATAGAGCGATTTCAAATAACCTAACAGCTGTCCCATTACTGGAGGAGGTAGGGTCACTGTCAAAATCAAACCAAACCCAAAGTTAGTAGAAGGAAAGAAATAATAAAAACGAGAGCAGAACTAAATGAAACAATAACCCCTCAAAAAAAAAATACCCCAAAAAGTTCAACAAAATGAAAAAATGGCTTTCTAAAAAGATAAACAAAATTGACATACCACTAGCTAGATTAAGAAACAGAGAAAACAGTTGAGCTCGGTGGCTCAGCCTGTAATCTGCGCTTTGGGAGGCTGAGGTGAGTGAATTGCCTGAGCCCGTGGGTTCGAGACCCACCTGGGCAACTTGGTGAGACCTCATCTCTACAACAAATTAAAAAATTAGCCGGGCGTGGTAGCGCGTGCCTGTAATTCCAGCTACTTGGAAGGCTGAGGCAGAAGGATCGCCGGCGCCCAGCAGGTCGATCCTTTCTGTGTGGGCGACAGAGTGAGATTCCAACTCAAAAAAAAAAAAAAAGAAAGAAAGAAAGAAACAGAGAAAAAACAAATAAATAAAATTGGAAACAAATAAAAAAGACATTACAACTGATACCACGGAAATAAAAGAATCATTAGAAACTATTATGAACAACTATACACCAACAAATTGGAAAATCTAGAGGAAATGATACATTCCTGGACACAGATAACCTCCCAAGATTGAATCAAGAAGAAAAAAAAACATGAATGGGTTAATAATGAGTAACAAGACTGAATCATTTCTGTTGCCTATTAACAGGATATTTGAAACTGAGTAATTAATAAAGAAAATAAATTTATTTCTTACAGTTATGGAGGCTGAGAAGTCCAAGGCCAAGAGTCACATCTGGCAAAGACCTTCTTGCGGGTGGGGACTCTCTGAAGACCCAAGGCTGCCCAGGGCATCACGGAACAAAGGGCTGAGCGAGCTCAGGTTTCTCTTCCTCTTCCCATAATGCCACAGTTCCACTTCCATCATTACCCGTTAGTCCATTAACTCTTCAATTCTTTAATCCATAAATGGATAATCCACTTATGAGGGCAAAGGCCTCATGAACCAATTAGCTCTTTAGGGACCACCTCTCAATACTGCCACATTTTGGATTAAATTTCAACATGAGTTTTGGAGTAGACAATAATTCAAGCCATAGCAACTGGTAACAAAAAGTCTCCCAACAAAGAAAAGCCCATGACTGGTGGTTTTACTACTGAGTTCTTTCTACCAAACTTTTAAAGAACACCAATTCTTCTCAAACTATTCCAAAAACCAAAGAGTAGGGAATTCTTCCTAATTCATTGTATAGGCCAGCATTACCCTGATACCAAAACCCAAACAAAAACACAACAAAGAATGAAAACTACAGGCCAATATCTCTGATTAACATAGATACAAAAAACTCTCAACAAAATACTAGCAAACTGAATCCAACATCAAAAAGGTAATACACCATAATCAAGCAGGGCTTATCCCAGGGATATCAGTATAGTTCAACATATGCAAATCTATAAATGTAATATATTGCATCAACATAATAAAGGGCAAAAACCATATGATCATCTCAATAGATGCAGAAAAAGCATTTGATAAAATTCAACTTTGCTTCATGATAAAAACTCAACAAATTAGGTATTGAAGAAACATACTTCAATGTAATAAAAGCCATATATGACAAAACCACAGCTAACATCATACCGAACAGGGAAAAACTCAACTTTTACCCTAAGAAATGGAACAAGACAAGGATGCCCACTTTCACCTCGTATTCAGCATGACACTGGAAGTACTAACTAGAGCAACTAGGTAAGAGAAAAAAACAAAGGGCATCAAAATTGGAAAGAGGCAGTCAAACTGTCCCTCTTTGCAGATAACACGATCTTATGTCTAGAAAAACACAAAAACTCCACCAACAATTTTTTAGAACTTACAAACAAATTCACCAATGTGACAGGATACAAAATTGACATATAAAAATCACTAGCATTTCTACACATCACTAACAAACGAGCTGAGAAAAAAATTAAGAAATCTCATATACAATAGCTACCAAAAAAAAAAAAAATACTAGGAATACCTTTAACCAAGGAGGTGAGAGCTCTCTAAAATGAAAACTAAAAAACACTGATGAAAGAAAGAGAAGAGAACACACAAAAATGAAAGGACATCCCATGCTCATGAATTGAAAGAATTAATATTGTTAAAAATGACAATATTACCCAAAGCAGTCTATAGATTTAATGCAATCCTTATCAAAATATCAAAGACATTCTTCACAGATGTGCATGGAGCCAACAAAAAAACAAAACAGAACAAAACAAAAAACAAACAAACAAAAACCCTAAATAGTCAAAAGAATACTGAGTTAAAAAGAATAAAGCTGGAGGTATCCCACTATCTGACTTTATACTGTGAAGCTATGGTAACCAAAACAGCATGGTATTGATATTAAAACAGACATATAGACCAATAGAACAGAATAAAGAACCTAGAAATAAATCCCCATATTTACAGTCAACTGATTTTGGACCAAGGCAACAAGAACATACATTGGGAAAGGGATAGTCTCTTCAATAAATGTTGAGAAAAGTGGATATCCATATTCAGTGGAATAAAACTAGATCCCTATTTCTCACCATATACAAAAATAAACTCAAAACAAATTCAAGAGTTAAACATAAGGACCCAAAACTATGAAACTACTCAAGAAAACACAAGGGAAATACAGAAAAATCATTTATAGGCAAGACTTTAAAAGTACAGGTAACAAAACATTAACAGACAAATGGGACTGTATCAAAGTAAAAAGTTTCTGTACAGCAAATGAAACAATCAGTGAAGAGACAACCTATAGAAGGGAGAAAGTATATGTAAACTATTCATTCCACAAGGGACTCTATCCAGAATATATAACTCAAACAACTCAACAACAAAAAAAATCCAGCAAGCCAATTAAAAAATGGGCAAAGGATCAGAATAGACATTTCTCAAAAAA